GATTGTATTGAAAGGAGTTTGTGACAAAATACAAAAAGGATTTATCTTTGTTAAAGGCCCTAAAAAAATTACTGCATCAGATATTCAAATAGAACCTTGTATTCAGATTATTGATAGTAATCAAATTATTGCCCATGTTACAGAACCGATTGATTTTAAAGCAGAATTAACCATTGAAAAAAGCACGACACTTGTGTGCCAATGTATGGTCTACTGGTGCTCCTCACAGTCCATCGACACCATCTTCACCTCCACAGAATGCCCAATCATTATAACTGTTTTTGGGGCGACAGCCTAGATATTCCGGTGGAGAATGAGGAGGGGGGCAATGACTGACGGCAATGGTAGAGCAACGATGATGAGGACACAGCATAAAAGAAACTTAAACCACCAGTCAGTCTAAGCTTCCTTTTCCAATGCCCGCCCGTGGCAAATACAAAGCACGGAGGGGCCAATCTTACCAGCAAGGGCCATATTTTTCTCTCCCGTACGCCCAAACTGCAATTATGAGGCGCATGAACTATTGCATCAGAACAAGGTACTAGGGAAATGGACTGCTGTGTCAAGAAACATTCATCACCATCCTGCTCCTCGTTGGGGCGCACGCCTGTTCTTCATCGCTGTCGTCCTCCTCATTCTCCCTCATTTTCCTCCTCATCCTTTGGGTGCAGGAGGGCAAGGAGGAAGGCGAGGACTCTCTCTCTCTCTCTCTCTCTCTCTCTCTCTCTCTCTCTCTCTCTCTCTCTCTCTCTCACACACACACACACACACACACACACAATCGGAAAAAATCAATGACAACTCGTGACAGCGGGCATGCAAACGTGAGCCAGAGATGTCCCAAAATATGCCTCCGTGTCAGATACACTCTTTTTTCTCAAGAGTTACAAAAAATGAACCTGCGACAAGAACTCCGATACATCTGCACGAAATCCAATCCTCGTGTCAAAAGAAGATCCTACCTGCATACCGTCACTCTGGCGTTCCGCCAAGCAAGCGCTACCCATCCATGGCCCATGGGCCTTTGGCTCTTGCACAGGAAACAAAAGGTTGGGTGTTCACATCACTTTCCAATTTGGCAAGGATTGAATGGCATCATTTTTTAATCCAAACCAATAGAAAATCTGGAGTGACGCACGCTACATGCAGCCAAGCCAAACTCGCCGAATCCAGTCCTTTCATCATCACAACATCTGACAACAATAAACCTGTCCTCTTCTGTTAAACCTTTCACAGGCATTGTGCCATCAGAGTATTAAAAAAGAAGAAGAAGAAGAAGAAGAAGAAGAAAAAGATCTTCTTCTTTGCAAAAAGTACACCGGTTTCCATCCAGCGCAGGCGAGCGGGCATCAGTCAGTGCAAAGCGACCAGACATGCTTGGATGGATGATTGTGTGCACACGTTCAGTAAAGAGTCTAAGCGCCAGAAGCATGAAGGACCAGAAGGGCCCAATACCGGGCGTACATAATCCGATTTGCAGGGGGGCTCACGGAACTGGCAGATTGTCAACACCGATTTGTTTTTCCCTTCCTTGCAATTAATCCTTCCCTTCTGTACTCCAAGATCGGCTCACGAAAATCTATCCGTGAAGCTGGTTGATGTGCATTCGTGTATCGGAAACATAGCCTTCTCCGGACGGGGTCAGCAGCATCATTTGCACTCCAACCCTCCCCGTTGACGGCGACACACAGAAAGCAAATATGGTGCCCCAGCCCACCTGTTACATTCCACAGCAACTTCGCAGCAGATAGTGTGTTCGCGTAAGCACACGCAATCACCTGTCATATCACACACTATCTGTTGGCCACACTGCTTCGCGSCAAYCAGACGAGATGCGCGCATTCTCATCATCTRGACAGACTGCTTGCCCTGGTTCATAGTTTTCTTCACCCAYACATCTGGACAGACTGCTTGCCCTGGTTCGTCCTCTCGCGGATTTGGTTGTGACTGCAGAGAGACTATACAAGCTCGCTCTCACCAGACCTACGCGCGACAGTCGACTACCACTGCAGCTTGCGAGTAAACCAATCGGCGTGGGAGTGGCGGCGGGCAATTACTTCTCGCGATCGCTCCTTACATGGCGCTGCTACCATGCCATCAGTGTGGGAGTGTCTGGATTTTTGCGCTCCAGACAAAAATAACCACCGAAATTGCCGCTGCGACCACCGCGCAATCAGACAGCGACTTCCCGCAGGGGGAGGCTTGGCAGGCGCTTCGCTTCGAGCGCGGTAAAAGCGTGTGCCCATGAGAGGATGTTCGCAGTGCAAGTAACAAATTAATCCAACTGCCGACGACTGCTATTGGTCCCGCAGGTTTCGACAGAACACTGAACGAAGCCCCGGTGCAAGATGGCGGCGGCTACCGCGCAAGGATTTTTGCGTCGCAAGCCACAATCTTTACCCTGTCGACATCGATTTGCTCATTATCGGTCTTGAAGAATGCATTCTCCAAGATGAATGTCCACACATTATCGCCTGTCTCTTATACACATCTAGATGTGTATAAGAGACAGACGCAACACACCGTCATCATGAACGTATTTGGCTGGAAAGATAGATTGTATACATCCATAATGAGGCGTACGTCGTGTTCGAGGGAAAAGACAGAAGGTATCTGTGATTCTACACATCCATAATGAGGGGTAGTTGTGTTAGACGGAAGATGGTAGGCATCTGTGATCACACGATAAAAATTGGTTCGGGAAGACGTCGGTTACGCCTGTCAGCGGTATAACAGCTACCCATTTAGCGACTATTTTTCAGGACTGTGCATTCGTCGCTCCTTGGCTATTACCGGGCCTCACTCCACTACATAACACTCTCTACATGCATTTGAACGCTTTCTTTGATGCGTCTGAATGCACCTGGTGCAGAAAAGCGTCCAAATTCATGTAGACTGTTGTGTGTAGAGGTGGAGGCACAGTAGCAACAGCAACCACAGGCTTTGACAATTTTTAGACTGCACACTGTTGGTGTGCACGCAAGTCAACAGCTGCAGGAAGATGCATGAAGAGGGCAGAAAACACAGCTTGGGCAGAAAACACAGCTTAGTAGCTTGAAGACAAACCCTGAGAGATATGTTGTCCCACACAGCAAATTTATCAATCAACTAGCTTGAGGTCAAACCCTGAGCGCAAACACTTTGAAGACAGCTTATTATAGCTTGAAGACAAACCCTGAGCGCAAACACTTTGCGAAGCAAACGAAAAAAGAAGAAATACGAAAGACAAACATCAGGAGCACAATGCCACCGTTCTTTTCAATCTTTTCTTCTTCTTCTTCTTCTTCTTCTTCTTCTTCTTCTTCTTCTTCTTCTTCTTTTTGTTCTCCCCCCCTATTATTTAAGTCTAATAAAAACATCAACAGCATATGCCAGGGCACTCTACATCTCCTACTTTCTCCTTCCTCCAGACGTGCATCGTCGGCCATTTCGTGCATTTTTTTTTGCCAGCATGTCTTTTCCACTGGCATGCCATAAAAAGTTTAAAAACTAAAAAAACAATCGAGCCCCAATGATTGTTCCTAGGGCATAGCCAATTCAAATTCACACCACTTTCCGCGATTTCGGGCGCAGAGAATTGCTAGGACTTAGATAATCTAACAAATGACTGTTGAAAATATGAAACGATAGCGCCTATGGCAACTATAGTTTGACGCAGCGACAAGTACATAATAAGTTTATAATAAGTTCATATCTTTATAACTTAATAATAAGTTTATATCTATAGTCCGCTGGCAATGTGGTGTCGTCAATTACTGTCGCTATTCACATGAGCTTCCAGTTCTGCTCCAATTCTGCCACGGAGCGCAATGGTTTTTCAACCGTTTCTCTTTTTTTTTCTTCTTTTTTTTGCATTACCGCGTGGGAGTCGACACGACAACTAAACCACGACAAAAAAAAAAAAAAAAAAAAAAAAAAAAAAAACACAACATAACTGAGATTCAATTCCATTTCATTACAACTTCGGTTTCTGCTGATTACCCCGAATCTTCGACGGTTCCATCGATCAGTGATTCAGTATTTATATATATATACACCCCTCGCCGCGAATTCGCTCAAGCAACACATCTGCCCATTTCCATCAAACTCGAAACCAAGCCGCCCTGATTGTGTGCGTTGTCTTTCCATTCAGTCACAGCACCTCTCGCTCAACGACTCGCCACATGCAGAAAAGACAAAGAAAAAAAGTTAAGGCGCTGCGCAACCTTTTCCATGTTCCAGCGGAGAATTCCTTATCATTTTGCACGTTCGGTGAGCATTGAAGTGAGGCCCACGGTCTGCCGTCGGCACAACTCAATGAGGGACAGCTGCAAAGCAGCAGCTTTGTGGAGAGAAGCCTACCACACACACCCACTGACAGAATAGGGGCGGGAGGGGGGGAACAAAAAAAAAAACGAAAGGAGACACTGCCTCACCCTGAACACCGTTTTCGACTTTATCTTCGTCTGCAGGGCCTCGTTCATCGACTGCACAGAACGAGTCGAGAAACATACCACCAAGAAGAAAGAAGAAATGTTCTCAAATCAGCAACAAGTATATTCGCATTAGGCATAACAACGAACACAAAAATAATAAAATATTTCTTTCTTTCTTTCTTTAAGGGGGTAAAGAAAGAAAAACGTTCTTCGGGACATTCGTTAAAATTGGAATGATACAGTGAAGATTTGCATGGCCCCTGCGCAAGGATTTAAAAAGAAAGAAAAACTTCAAAAAAAGGAAAAAGAGAGTGAGTAGAGTGAAAATTAAGGAGCAGTGAGACAGGAATATAATATACATTTATTCATTTCACACCTGTGAACATAAATATTAAATACTGTCGTTTTTTTTTCCTGACCTAAAAAAGAAAGAAAGTTAGGTGGTGAGCTTACGGCAGTGAAAATTCTCATCGCCATGACCAGAAAAGCTACCGTCTTCCCCCGAATACAATGTATGGCCATTATAACCGTGTATTTGGCTCACCTTCCGGTCCAGGTGCAGCATAAATGACCGTACGTTCAATTCAGGTAAGTGAAAAAGGTAGTAAATTTACAGCAAATTCAAAAAAACGAGAAGCTGATGTTGCAAACAGAAACCAAAAAAAGTAAAAAACTCTGCTCAGGTCACTCTAGAGTCTAAACACAGCCCAATTCAGATCACCCCCTATTATAAACAGAGACCCCAACTTCCCCCACGAACACACACCCCAACTTCCCCATTACCACAGACCCCAACACCCCCATTAACAGATACCTCAGATCCCGATTACCACACCCCCAGACCCCAACTCGGGATAAAACCCTTCTAAACACAGACCCCAACACCCACACACAGACCCCAACTTCCCACATTAACACGGACCCCAACTTCCCCCATGAACACAGACCCCAACTTCCCCCAATTAACACAGACTCCACACCCCCAGTAACAGATACCCCAGCTCCCCATTGCCCCAACCCAGACCCCAATTCAGATAACCCCCCTCTACACACAGACCCCGACACCCACACACAGGCCCCAACTCCCACGCACACAAAATATATATATATCGTCAAATAGAAGTGCCCGGTAAACCGTAGGCAGAGAGGGAGAAGAGGACAACAAACGAGGGGCTGTGACAAACTGTTTCGTCGGAGTTTCACCGACTCATCAGGAGGCTGATATATATATATATATATATATATATATATATATAATATATATATATATATATATATTGCCACAGAACTATTGACTAATATATGCATGTAAGTTGACACGAGTCCTCTTTCCCTCTGTTCACAGCAGTGGTCAGACGTCGATTCCTGCGCAAACGTTGCTCTGTACTGGCAGCAGCATGACCAGACTCTGAGCATCTTCGGTTTTGACTCTTTTGAGTGCCGTGTTTATTCAGCCTGAACCTTATCCACTCACTATGTACCTTATCCATTTGTTATGTGCATACGCATCTTCTGGTTGTGGTTTGTATCTATATGTGGGACCTGTCATCCGGTTTTTTTTTTGTCCTTTTGGCATCCTAGTTGGCTGTTTCCCGTTGTTCGGCCTTGGTGCGATGGGGCGGTGCTTTTCTGTGGGAATCGTCATCTGGGATTGTCTTTTTTGGTTTTTCTTGCCGTTGCTGGCATCCCAGTATTTTAGGTTGGAACAGCGACGCAGCAGAAAGCAGTAGAAAGATTAAAACGATATACCAGTTTTTGCAACAAATAACAATCGCCAAGGAGTCTTGCAGTTGACGCAGCAGAGTCGCTGGCGAGTACGAATGGTTTGTTATCTGGGATTGCTTTCGTCTGCAGGCAAGGGTGTTTTGATATCCTGGGCCTGGTTGGTCTTGCTTGTCCCGTCGTTGGCCTGTGACGAAGGGGGCGGTGCTTGCATGTGGAACTTGTTATCTAGGATCTGTTTATGATTGTTTCCCCCTGTTTTGTTATATTTGGCTGTTCCCTTCCTCTCTTCTTTGCCTCTTTGCCTTTTGCCTGTTGTGCAAGTGGGTCGATATGACACACGGGGGTGGGGGCAGCCGCCGCTCAACCTACACCCCCGTGGGCGGCCTTGTACGCAAGAGGTTTTGAACAGGGGGAATTGTAAGTACGAAGATCTAAAAAATGAATTGATTTTTTTTTCTGTTTTTTTTTCGTTTTTCCGCTCTCATAAAAAATCTTTGTGACGATATATATAGTCATGTATAGTCAAACAGAGCTTCCCGGTAAACCGTAGGCAGATAGGGAGAAGAGGAGAAGAGGAGAAGAGGACAACCTAAACGAGGGAGGGGCTGTGACAGACAGACTGTTTCGTCCGAGTTTCACCTACAAACTCATCAGGAGGAGGCTGAACCCTAATTGGCATTTCAGCCGCAACACTTCACTTGGAATAATGATTACCGCTTTTACTACCGGGTAGGAGTTGCTCTTTGCTAGCAGGACATCGGTCTGGATTTGGCCATTTCTGGTCTTAGATTAGGCTCCCCCAACACCTTAACCTAATCTGGGTAATGGTCCCAGCATTGTTCCCATTACTTTCCGGGTTGTTTGTTGAGGGATTCCCGGCCTCATTTTTTGTTAAAAAAAGTGAATTTCTTGTTAAAAAAAAAAAAGAGTTGCTCTTTCAGTACTCGCTGAATGTGTGAAGTGACGGCTTCTATGCACCGAAGAAAAGGTCCCAATGCGGAAGGTCCCATGTTTACTCCGCTTGAACTTTGTCCACTGAAAAAATGACTTATCCGTTTGTAATGTCCCATACAGTGGGGCTGGGGAAATCAAAACAAAGCGGGGCAATAGAGACCAAAAAACAAAAAAACAAAAAAAAATGAGGAAATAGAGACAAATTGTTGGGGCAATAAAGACAAAAGCAGAAAGAAGGCACTAAATCAACGGAAGAAAGATGTGACGGGCCGCAAAGGGGTGAAGGGAG